ACTGCCTATGCATCCTACACCTTCATTCTGTAGAGCTTAACAAAAAGGCTTTGTGCCAACCCAAAAGCTATCTTGGAACAGATACTGAAGTGGGATGCGTGCCAGGAACCCACCCAAATGACCTTGAAAAAGTACTGCTTCATTTCTTGCTGCCAACCTTCTGTGTGCATTGTCCTGAGCTCACTACAGCGTCCTACACACCACACGATTGCATAATTGACACCCTTCCCCACCTACTGAGCTTTGGCCCTTTAGTTTGGATATAGAATTACTTTTCTCTGGGTGGTGGTGGCGCACGCCTTTAATCCCAGAACTCGGAAAGTAGAAGCAGGTGGATATCTGTGAATTCGAGGCCAGCCTGGTCTGCAAAGTGAGTTCCAGGACAGCCAGGACTGTTACACAGAGAAACCCTGTCCAGTGGCTTTCATGTAATAGATAATGCCTATAAAGGAAATCATATACTTATCAATTAAATTTTAGTAATATCAGATTTCTAATCTGTAATGAATATTGTCTGGTTTTTAGGAGAGTAGACAGCAGAAAAATTATGAGTTGAGAAAAAACTCTTTAGAATACTAGCTTTGTTGAGATCTTTTATTCTTGATTTATATTTGCATTAAAAACAGCACCATTCTTGTCTTTTGTCTTTTTTAAAACCACTGTGTTGAAATTTTAAATTATCCTATGATTTATAGCATTCATCATTCATGTGTTTCTTGTTTTGTACCTATAAATCGAATGATTACAGTATGGGAAACTTGTATGTTAGTACTGATAACCATCTGAAATTTAAAAAAAAATAAGGTATGAAAAAGTGAGCCCCTCATGGAGCTGAGGCAAAATTGTAAATTTATAGTCAGCCTTGGCTACACAGCATGTTTAAGGACAGCCTGGGCTAAATTGGGAAACCTTGTCTTAAGGTGAAGTCAAATAAACTAAATTATCGCATGATTGGTGAGAAATGGAGAAAACACTGGAAGTGCTAGCGTAAGATGGAAGGTGTGTGCTCCTGGGTGGCTGTGGTGAGCTGAGTTATTGGGACTCTGAATGTGATACAAACACATGAAAAAATATGATAGCTAAAAAAAAGTAGAACAATATACTTGATTATGATAGAACAGTCATAGCTCAGACCCGTGTTAGATAAACACACTTGAAGGAAAGGCGTATGTCGCGATGGTGGCTGTCCCTCGTTTCTCGTGTCCTTCAACACACACCATCATTTTCAGCATGAAAACGGAGTAAAAGCCCTGGAAACGTTCACTGTGAATTTGTTCTTGATGTATCTGAAATATCAAAGTTCAGAGTTTAGAATTTACCCCTGGGTTTATATTGGAGACATTTAACAAGTGTTAACGAAATTTCTCTTCCGTTGGATCAGACTCCCAGAACTCTGTCAAAACATCAGAAGACTGAACATCACTTCAATTCCTGTAGTCGTAGTTTGGGAAGAAGTGGTCTTTCCTAACTGTTTCTAGGGGGCTCTGAGCAATCAAGGGGCTCTCCTCCTCTACGGAAAAGTAACCTTAGCCACCTTCACTCAGATAGCAGAAAAATCATCTCATCCCTGGAAGGTATAATTTGTTAGTATTTATCTTATACAGAAGGAACAGTCATTCCCTACTTAAGATCTGTGTCATTTTTTTTAAGGTAATAGTTCTTGCTCAAGTGTCAAGGGTCAAGTTTCATTTTTAGTGAAATAGGACCCAGGTGCATGACCCTGCTGAATTTTGATGACCTTCGACATCCAGAAATGTTCTAAACACTTATTATTTTATATGCTAGCTAAGCAATAAGAAGTTTATCCGTCTAGGGTTCCTAGATTCTATGGTGCTCCAGCTACTGTTCTGATTGAAGAAGTGATGTTGTAGGTGTCTGGAGTGTACTTCGGTTGTGACAGTGATCAGTGGGAGCCATGTTTTGACTGGAGTGAGGGGGAGTAAGATGAAGTGACCCTTGTAAGGTTTCCATGCCGTGAGAATGGGAACTGTGCCTGCAGCCTTCTCGTTAGCTAGTGATGTTGTTCCGGCCCGTGTATCTCTAAATACAAAGATCTGGATTCGTGTTTCTCACAAGTCACATAAACTAGTGCTGTTCAAAGCAGCCAGCTCCTTGCTGATCCCTAAAAACACAGGAGTAGTGGCGAACCCCAGTGCACTGACTCACGAGGCTGAAGAAGCATGATTTGGGGGTTCAAGGCCAACACTGACTATATAACAAGACTTTGTCTCCTAAAGAAGAAATACATGATGGTAGGAAGAGAATGGTGAATTGTGAGTTTGCCTGCTAGGTCAGGACAGGTTTAGATCTTAAATCAGTGAGCAAATAGAAACGATGATACTGTGTTCTGGGGATAGCTCCCTACTGAAAGCAATGCTCTACCAGCTTGCCACAATCGCTAAAATTACCACTAAAGACAGGTCCTTAAAGGTCTCGTTCATAGAATGTATAGTCACATTGACTTCAGGGGTTATCAGTTTTCTGGTATATGCTTCATTAATTCATCCATTGTCACTAGCAGCAGGACCCCCAAGGGTACAGAGCTTAGGAAGCTAAGTTGAGTCCATGTCCACGATGAGGCGGTAGGGAAAATGCATGCTGGAACACAGTACTTAGGGGCCTTTCAAAGTTAACAGCCATCTGGGGAAACTAAAAACCCAGGGCCATGGGGAGTGGTATCAGCATCAAATCAGACAGTTTCTAAGAAGCACCTCTTACGTGGAGGTCAGTGGACTTCAAATCAAAGAGTTGCCCTTCATCTTATAGATCACAGACTGAGACAGGCAGCCAAGGTCTCTGAGGAGTCAAAATGGGTTTTCTGACTCTTGAGCCCTTCCTTTTAAGCATTGTGACATACTGCCTCCTAAACACACACCCACACGCGGGGGGGGGGTCTCATGAAAGGTGAAATTAAAATGCAAGTGTAGCCCAGGTTTCTCCTACCCCATCACCTGAAATCTTGTACAGCATGCCAAGAACCACCCTGCTTGTTCTAGGATGTGTAGCCAAGGGTTACATGGATGACCCACAGAGCCTCAAGCTAAGCCTTTACTCTGACCTTAAATATACTGGTGTGAGATTAATTGAACCGGTGGGATTTTTTTTCTGTTATTGTTTGGAAATCTTAGCCAAGATATATTTTCTTTTTGGACTTGCTACTTGAAACGTGGGTAACTGAGCAGGACTCCTTGGTGGCCTTTGATCCCATTAGAGAGTTTAAATCGATGGCCCAGTTCTTTGAATGAAACCTGATATTAAAAAAACACCAAGCTGAAGTCACAGGAGATTGTAGTATAATGCGTACGTTTGGAGTCCCTACTTGGGGGGATAGAGTTCCGGGAGACTATATTAGCCCACGTGTGCGTTCACTTTTACTCGGGAGTGATTCTTAGTCTCCACATATTTATTTAACAGAAGAATATTTAAAATTCCTAAATCCAATTTATAGCCTTAGACCCTGTCAGAACCTGGCATATGCAACGCTGTCCAGGAGCCCAAGGAAACCCAGTGATGAAGGCGGCTGGTGAATCTGAATCTCTCAACATTGTGTGAATCTCAACATTGTGTGACTCTCAACATTGTGTGACTCTGATGTTTTCTTCCCGTGCCATTTTATCACCCATGAATCTTCATTTCAGCAGTTTGGTCTTTGCTTCTTCTTGAGGCCTACACCAACAACCTCCCCAAAATAGACAGATCCGATTTGACCTGAGTCCCAGTTTCTAAAGACTGGCCATGGTCATCTCTGCTCCACGGTGGTCTGCAGGTGGTCTTGGTAGCTATAGCAACTGCTTCGCTCCCCTCAGACATAGCAGTTCTGCTTTCTCTTGGGGTCATCAAAGGCTTTGCTCAGAGTTTTCTGTGCACCTAGCCAAGACGGCCAGGTTGGGTGAGATTGATTAGGAGCCATCTTAAATCCTATGTCCTAGGTACCCACTCACAGGTGGCATGGGAAACTGTACAACCCAGTGTGAGAGCCAGCAGTGGTACCATCTCACATTATAGATGGAGCCAACCACACTCTGCATTCTCCATAGATGACTACGGGATGAACCCCAGATAAACACGTGTGGCTCTGATTCCTGTAAAATAAACAGCTTGAAGGAAAACAATACACAAGCATCCCACCATCAGTCTCTGGATAGGCGGAGAGAGGCGTTAGCTCTGGTGTTTGGTCTTCATAAAAAATAAGACAGATGTAGAAGTGTGTGGACCTTACGTGACCTTGCTGTCGGGCAGCTTCAGAAGTGTTTTCTTAAATTGTAGTGACCCCGAAGAGTTCATTTCCTCTACCTTTGCTGTTTGGGTCATCGCCACCGTAGAATGCAGTGTGATTATACTGACGAGGAAAGCAGATTGTTCAAGCTCACCCTTTGGAGCTTATTCTCCACTTATTTTCCTGTGGGTGTGTGTAGGGTGTCATGGGGTGCGCATGTGCCATGTTGCGCATGTGGTCAGAGGATGGGTTTGTAAAGTCAGTTTTCTCCTTCCTCCTTCATGTGGGCAAACCCGAGACCTTAGGCTTACGCCGCAAGTGCCATCTCGCTGGCCTCTGGTTTTTGATTAAGACAGTGGCTCAGGCTGGCCTGAAACTCCCTGTCCTCCTCCCTCATTCTGCCTAATGTCAGGATTATTATAGGCACAGCCATGCCTGGCCTGCCGCTCACCTCAAAGCAAGCATGACGCTTCACCTTGTGTACACATTACCCACTCTCCCACAGGGTCTGACAGGACTGCTGGGGGAGCCACCCAGGCTGCCCCTCCACCTGTCCCTGCACATCACACAGAGATCGTCGGCCATGCTCCTCAGTATGAGAAACAACTTTGAGGCCGAAGGTGTTTTGTGGTATTAACGACACATTGGCTTTATTTATTTTTATTATTTATATTTATTATATTTTATACATCCTGCTAGCTTCAGTTAGTGGTCTTTAAAATATGTGAAATTTAAGAACAAAATTTCTCATATTGTAATGTTTTTCTCCTTTTCTTCTTTGTAGAGCAAGGAGATTGCTTTCCAACTGCATGAGGACTTAATGAAGGTTCTTAATGAGCTCTACACGGTAAGTCCATAGTCTGTCTTCGCTCGTGGGCTTCTGCTTTGTCTTCCTGGTCTGTGGGAGCTGCTTGTTTTAGAACTCCCTCCAAGTGTTGATGATCTTGGTAAAATCTGGACTGAGGTAGCCATGTGCTCAGCACATTCCTCCGCCCGTCCCTCCACATTTAGAGACCGTATGAGTGTGTGCACACGTAGCATGCACACACGTGGTTAAGTAGTTTAAGAAAACAGAATATAGAGGCTCAATTAGACATGTTTTAACTGGTTGGATGAAATGAGACCTGCTCTCAATTTTTGAATATTGAGTTTAAAATTGCCATTCTTAGATGCAAGTTGAGGCTTGCTTTATTATTGGTGCTTTCGTGTCTGCCTTTCTCTTACTTGTTTGGATCTTGCAGGGTTGGGGAGTGACCCTTGAGACCCTTGTGTACCAGGCAAGTCTCTGCTCCTGAGCTGTATCCTAAGCCTTTCTTTTTCCTTCTCCTCTATGCCCCTCTTCCATTTCAGTTCAGTTGGTTATTTGGTAATGACACCACACTAAGATTATTGGGGTTTTGTTTTGTTTTGTTTGCATGATATCTTTATGTCCTTCCCTATAATAATTTGCTTTATTTGACTTACATTTCATTTAGGGTACTTAAAGGAATACTTTAGTAATAATACTTAAGGTAATAATAATAATACAATAATTATTTTATTTGAGTTGCATTTCACTTAGGGTACATATATCATTATAAGAAATTAAATAGTATAAAACCACTTTATTTTTTAAACTACTAATATTTTTCTTAATTTACAATTATTTGTTCCTAAAAAGACAAGTGTGTAAAATGTAATTTGATAAATTAGATTTCTTTAATGCTTACTGATTAAGGGAGTTTTTTTTAACTAATTAAGCTTTTAAAAAAATAAATAACATTTTTATAAAATGCACTAAGGTTTTTTCTTCAGATTTATTTTTATTTGTGTATACATGTGTCCATCTGAGCACATATTATATATGTACCTGTGCCAGGCAAGCGTAGAAAAGGGGTCAGGTCTCCCGGCTGAAGTTGCAGGCAGTTGTGAGCTGCATTGTGGATCTGGGAACTGAATTCAGGTCCTCTACAATAGTGGCAATCACTCTCAATTCCTGAGCCGTCTCCCAGACTCTTTTCTAAGATTTTATTTAGCAGAGAGTGGATTTTCAAGATCGTGTTTCTCTGTAGCTTTGGAGCCTGTCCTGGAACTCTTTGTAGACTAGGCTGGCCCAGAACTTGGAGATCCGCTTGCTTCTGAGTGCTGGAATTGAAGGCATGTGTCACCACCGCCCTGCTGATTTTTGTATCTAGATGATATTGGGGAGTTGTTATATTTTCTATGAACATAATAACTATGTTTTTATAGAGCACATTTGCTGCATTTTTTTATTTTGAATTGAATAGATGATTTCTGTATGTTAATTTCTCCTTCAGAAACTTTGATCTACATGCAACCTGCAGAACTTCCATGTTAGCAGGTCTAGCCGTATACCTGGAGTCACATAAAACGTCATCACCAGATAGATCCAAGACAAGCCTGTTGGGCAGCTTGGAGATGTAGTGGGGAGGTGGTGTAACTTCTCCAGTATCTCCTAGATCCTTCTGTCCACTGGGCCCTGGGTGTTAGATCAAGGCCACTGAGACACATCCTCAGAACTCTAATCAACATCAATCTGAAGTCCTAGAAAAGGTGACCAGAAATTGGATGGCCTTGTCAGTCATTTAACCCCTCCGAGTCAGTGGGGGAATTAACAGATAGATGGGAAAGGCAATGGCATATCATCTGTAGATCTTTTTGAACTCCTAGAAAGAAAATTCACTTTGAAGAGCATGCTCAGTGAAAACCAGAGGTCACCTTCTTCCTCTTCCCACCCACCCCTCACGTATGCACACTGCACCACACACACACACACACACACACACACACACACACATACAGACACACACACAGACACACACAGGTACAGACTCACACACAGATACACTCACATACACAGGTACAGACTCACACAGACACATATACACAGGCATAGATACACACACACACAGTCACACATACACATACTCCATACACTTACTTTTAAAGGAGCTGTTGCTTGGCCTCTTCCTATACTTTACACTATAGACACACAAATCCTGACTTGTCCAAATGAAATCTATGCATTTTTCATATTCAGTTCATATTAAGAAAGAATGAAAGCATAGGATAGTGGAACATGGGTTTAATGATTATGGTTTAACCACTGACCAGTATTTGCTCAGGAACAAGTAACCTTCTGGTATCTTATGTAGAATTTTGAACAGCTGATAACGTTATATTGGTCACTGAAGTAAGGGCATAAAGTACATAACCCCAGGGAATTTGGTTGCTGTTTAATTTCCTAGTCAGACAAATATTCGTTTCTCCTTTGTTCACAAACCCTTGAAACTCCCTGGGAGCAGGAGTGAACATTTGGGAAATGTATTAACTTATTTGTGCGTAGACGGTTTTAAGCTGCAGTCAGGCTCCTAGCAGGCGACAGTCTTAGCATGTGCCCTGGCTCTGACCTGTTGCCCCCATCATGCTTGCTGATTACTCAGACACTGCAGGAGGCTTTGGCTCATAGCGTGTAACTGCTCAGGAAAACAGAAACGGATGCTTTATAACCACCCAAAATCACCCACCCGTCAGACAGAGCTGAATCTCATCGGCCCAGGTTATATGGGGATGCCATAGCATACAATATAAACCTCCGATCAATGGATAACGGGCAAGCTATGTAGAGTGTAGAGCATGGAGCCCTGGAGTTCTGAACAGGAGAGAGGAGATTTTGGCTTAAGACACTTCTGAGAGAGGTGTCCTTGGCATTTTGTCGCTGTGCTGACAGACACCTGAGAGAAACATTTGAAAGTGTGGAAGGATTATTCTGGCTTATGGTTTCGCTTGAGTTCGTGGTTGCATGGCTCCATTGCTGTGAGCCTGGACAAGAGCAGAGCTAGCTTACATCCTGGTTACTGGGATGCAGAGAAGTGAGCTCCTGTCCGCACTAGTGAGCTTCCTCTTCCTTCCTCTTTTTGTCCCACAATTTGTTCTGTCACATGATTGCCACCCACAGCTGGGTAAGCATTCCCACCTGCCTTAGTCATCTCTGGGCACACCCTCATCGGCACACCCAAGGGTCTCCTTTGGTGGTCTTCTAGGCAATCTTCAGTCCAATCAAGCTGTCAGTCAAGATCGAACCATTTCAGGAGGAAGGGTCTTGAGGATGTGCAAGCTGTGTTTGTCCCAGTTTGCCTTTATCAGCAAAAACATGGACTCAAAATGGGTTCAAGCCTCTAGTTGGATTTTTAGACTCCATGAGGGACAAACCAAAGCCCTTAGTTTGGCCTTGATTAACAGAGATGCTAGAAATAATAGCAGGAATGCATTAGAAGTTTATGCTTTCTCCTAAGAGTTTAAAGATTGCAGCACAGGGCTGATATCCAGAAAACCCTTCGGGAACCAGGCTGCATCTAATCTGTTGTTCAGAGAAACTCAATTGCAGCATCCGTCCTTGGAGCTGCAGATAGTTACAGGAACTCTAGCCTCTGTATTCCTGGAAACAGAACAGAGAAAGGGAAGATCAGGCCCCCAGCTATCAGGAAGACCTGATGGAAATCCTCCATTATGTTTTCCCGTGTCTCTCTTTGGCCAGAACTCAGAATGGTCCCTGGGAGCCTCAAGGACATCGGGCAATTGCAGTCTCTTGCCAGCCAGTTTATTGCTAACCTTTGTTTGTGTCTTTGTTTTACGGGGATTTCGTTCACTTGGAAGAAAAAGGAAGTTACTCATAGCTAGTCATACCTCCCAGAGTGCTAACATTTATTGCAGACTTACTGTGTATGTACCTGGAATTGTGCTAGCACATTACATGATCTCCTCAGCATTGCCGAGGTGGTTATCTCATTATCCAGATTCTGTAGTTGTGGAACCTAAGGGCGAAGAGAGGCTTGCCCTGGCTTGCATAGTCTCCAGTGAAGGAGGAGCTCAAGCCACATCTGGCTCAGAGCCCTTACTGCCTCTTTGTCTCTGTTGCTGTGGTCTAGGGAATCATCCTGAAAACACATAACTAAATGTTATTGTCTCCCCCAAATAAGGATAAATTAATTTATCACCTCACCATTTGTACTTGTTTACAGGAATCAGTAGAATTAATGTTGCTTTAATTAAAAATGTAAGGGAAAAACTGAACATGTGTCAGGATGGCAAACTGTAGTGCTTAGAAATGTTCATCTAAACAGAGAACAGACAGAACTTAGTGGACCAAAAAGTGAGAGGGTAACCCAGGATCCTCAAACTCTGGATCTGGGTCTTGGCTGCTAATGTACTTCCCAAGTTGAGCGTCTGACTAAAGATAAAGGTCAGAATCAACAATGTTGTTGATAGTGGGGTCAGGAAACAAGCAGTAGTGTGTCATGATGAAACAGCAAAGACCAGACAGGCCATCAACAGACTTGTGCTGGGACCCCAGCTCCGGGCGTTGCTATTTGTATAGTCCTGAGAAAGCAATTCACCTCTCTGAACACACAACCAGTGGGGCGGTGAAGCTGCACGTGTGAGTGAGTGTGTGTGAGTGTGTGTGTGTGAGAGAGAGTGTGTGTGGAAGTGTGTGTGCGTGTGCATGTGAGTGTGTGTGTGTGTACGCGCATGTGCGCGCATGTGTCTATGCACACATGCAAAATAATCTTGAGACAAGATCTCATGTCGCCCAGGTTGGTGTCGAACTCATTCTACAGTAGAGGTTGAGACCTTGAACACCTAATAGGAAACAGGAGTGTAGTCACCTTCCAAGTGCTGGGGTAACAGATGTGTGTCACAAAGCTCAGTTTAGTTGACTGTCACAACTGTGGAGAATGAAAACATCCCAGGATCTTCAGCTGGGAAACTGGAGACACAAGGTATAGTTTCTAGTCTGAGCCCAAACGCCTGAGAAAACCTAGACGGCTGTAAAGTCCAATCAAATTC